GGCCAACGTGGTGAAAGCTTGTCTCTACTAAAAACACAAAAAAATTAGCTGGGCATGGTGGCTGGCACTTGTAATCCCAACTACTCAGGAAGCTGAGGCCAAAAATAGCTTGAACCCAGGACATGAAGTTGCAGTCAGCCGAGATCGCACCACTGCACTCCAGCCTGGGACAGAGGGAGACTTCATCTCACGGAATACAACAGAGCTCCAATAATAAATAAATCCTCATACATATGATCTTTTTTTTTTTTTTTTTTTTTTTTGAGACATAGTCCCACTCTGTTGCCCAGGATGGAGTGCGGTGGCACAATCATAGGTTGCTGCAGCCTCAACTTCCCAAGCTCAGGTGAATTCTCCCACCTTGGCCTCCCAAAATGCTGGGATTGTAGGTGTGAGCTACTGCATCCAACCTTGTGAATCTTCTTTAGTGGGGTATCTGTTCAAGTCTTTTGCAGATAAATATTTGTCTTCTTATTGTTGAGTTTTAAGAGTTTTTGTGTATTTTGGATAACAGCTCTTAATTAGGTATACCTTTTGCAAATATTTTCTCTCAGTATGTATTCTGTCTTATTCTCTTGACTTTCTTCACTTTAAAATCAGGTTTTATTTTGTTATTGAATGGTAGGATTTCTTTTTTTCTTTTCTTTTTTTGAGATGAAGTTTCCCTCTATCGCTCAGGCTGGAGTGCAGTGGCCCAATTTCGGCTCACTGCAGCCTCTACCTCCCGGGTTCAAGCGATTCTCCTGCCTCAGCCTCCTGAACAGCTGGGATTACAGGTGCATGCCACCACACCTGGCTAATTTTTGTATTTTTAGTAGAGACAGGATTTTACCATATTGCTCAGGCTGGTCTCGAACTCCTGACCTTGTGATCCGCCTGCCTCAGCCTCCCAAAGTGCTGGGATTACAATGGCGTGAGCCATTGTGCCCAATCAGAATTTCTTTATGTATTCTGGATATTAACCCCTTACAGGATATATGATTTGCAAATATTTTCACCCATTTTATAGGCCTTTTCACTGTTGATTGTGTTCTTTAATACACAGAATTTTTAAATTTTGATGTAGTCCAATTTATCTATTTTACTTTTGTTGCCTGTTTTTCATGTCATGTCCAAGAAATCCATTACCACATCCAATGTCCTATTTTTTTTTAAGAGTTTTATAGTTTTAGGTCTTACATTTAGGTCTTTGATCTTTTTTGAGGTAATTTTTGTATATAGTGTAAGGTAAGTGTTTAATTTCATTCTTTTGCATGTGGATATTCAATTTTCCCAACACCATTTGTTGAAGAGACTGCCCTTTTCTCATTTGATTGGCTGGGTGCAGTGGCTTATGCCTGAAATCCTGGCACTTTGGATCACTTGAGCCTAGGAGTTTGAGATCAGCTTGAGCAACATGGCAAAACCCTGTCTCTTCTAAAAATACAAAAAAAATTAGCCAGGCATGGTGGCATGTGCCTGTAGTTCCAGCTACTCAGGAGTCTGAGGTGGGAGGATCGTCTGCGCCTGGGACATTGAGGCTGCAGTGAGTTGTGATTGTATCACTGCACTCCAGTCTGAGAGACAGAGTGATACTTTCTCTAAAAAAAAGAGAAAAAGAAAAAGGAAGAAAAAATAAGAACAAGAAACAACAAAACAAAAACAACAGATGGCAAATAAGTATATGAAAAGATGTTCAACATTATAAATCGTTAGAGAATTACAAGTTAAAACAATAAGGAGATGCCACTATACGCCTATTAAATGGCCCAAATCCAAAACACTGACATCATCCAATGCTGGCGAGTATTCGGAACCAACAAGAACTCTCATTCATTGCTGGTGGAAGTGGAAAATAGTACAGCCGCTTTGTAAGACAGTTTGGTGATATCTTATGAAACTAAACATGCTCTTACTATACAACACAGCAATTGTGCCGCTTGGTATTTACCCAAATGAGTTGAAAACTTATGTCCACACAAAAACCTGCACGGGGACATTTACAAAACAGCTTTATTGACAAAACTTGAAGCAGCCAAGATTTCCTTCAGTAGGTGAAGGAATAAACTGTAGTACATCCAAACAATATAATATATTTAGCATTAAAGAAAAATGAGCTATCAAGCCATGCAAAGACATGTAGAAAACCTTAAATGCATATTATAAGTGAAAAAGGCCAATCTGAAAGGTTATATAATGATTCCAACTATACGGTATTCGGGAAAAGACAAAACTATGAAGACAATACAAGATCAGCAGGAAGGGAGGGATGAATGGGCAGACCACAGAGGAATTTTTTTTAAGGCAGTGAAGCTATTCTGTATGATACTACAATGGTGGACACATCTCATTAAACATTTGTCAAACTCATAGACTGTACGACACTAAAAGCGAAACTTAATGTAAACTATGGTCTTTAAGTGATAATGAGGTATCAGTCTAGGTTCACTGATTGTAACAAACATAACCCTCTGGTACAGAACATTATTAGTGCAAGAGGCTTGGGATGAAGCAGAAAGGGTATATAAGAACTCTGTTCTTTCTGCTAAATTTTGCTATGAACCTAAAATTGCTTAAAAAAAAAAAATAAAGGCTTTTGTTTTTCAATTGGGCAAAGGACTTGAATAACATTTCTCCAAGGAAGATGTATAAATGCCCCACAAGCATATTTTTAAAATGTGCAACATCATTAAATCATTAGAGAAATGCAAATCAAAACCTAAAGGACATATCACCTCACACTTATTTGATGGCTACTTGCATTTTAAAAAATAAAAGAAAAGAATGTGTTGGCAAGGATGTAGAAAAAGGTGAACCCTTGTGCACTGTTGCTGAGAATGTAAAATGATGTAGCCCCTATCGAAAACAGTATGGCAGCTCCTTAAATAATTAAAAATAGAACTACTACACAATCCAGTGATTCCGCTTCTGGGTATATATTCAAAAGAGTTAAAGCAGGGTCTTGAAAAGGTATGTGCACACCTATATTCATGACAGCATTATTCAAAACAGTCAAGAAGTAGAAGCAACACAAATGTCCATCAATGGATGAATAAACAAAATTTGGTATACACATACAAAGTAATATTACTGCCTTAAAAAGACAATTCTGCAGCCAGGTGCAGTGGTTCATGCCTATAATCCCAGTACTTTGGGAGGCTAAGGTGGGAGGATCGCTTGAGTCCAGGAGTTCAAGATTGGCCTGGGCAACATGGTGAAACTCGTCTCTACCAAAAATACAAACAAACTAGCCAGGCATGGTAACCTGCACTTGTAGTCCTAGCTACTTGGGAGGCTGAGGTGGGAGGATCACCTGAGGCCAGAAGGTAGAGGCTGCAGTGAGCAGTGATCTCACCACTGCACTCCAGCCTGGGTGACAGAGTAAGACCCTGTCTCAAAAAAAAAGAAAAAAAAAAAAAAGAAAAAGAAATTCTGATATTGCCACAATATGGATGTATGAAGACATTACGCTACTTAAAATAAGCCAATTACAAAAAAACAAATACTGATTGTATCTACAGTAGCCAAATTCACAGAGAGAGAAAGTGAAATGATGGTTCCAGGGACTGGGGGAAGGAATGAACGGGGAGTCGTTTAACAGGTATAGAGTTTCCGTTTTGTAAGATTAAAATCTGGATGTCTGATGCTGTGTAAGTTTAGTATAAAGCTATCCCTTTAGATATTTTAAGTTCGCCCAAGGGTTTCTCAGTATATAGTGAACTATAACCTAATTGGATACGTAAATAGGAAGTAATCTATGCTTGAACCAATCACTGAGTTTCAGCCAATCACAGATGGCCAAGTGTTCAAACCATGTTCAAATAGGGCAAAAGCCAAGCTGTAACCAATCAACTGTTTCTGTACCTGACTTCTTTTTTCTGTACATCATTTTACTTTTTCTCTCCATAAATCTCCCACCAGCGGCAGCCCCCGTCACTCTGAACCTATTCTGGTTCCGGATCCTGCCCAATTCCAAATCATTCTTTGCTCAAACAAACTCTGTTACATTTAGTGTGTCTAAAGTTTTTCTTTTAACAGTGTAGAACCATGTGAATGTACTTAACACTACTGAACTGTACACTTAAAAAGTTAAGATGGCAAATTTTATGTTACCTCTATTTTACCGCAACTTTTTAAAAAAGCAGAGCTCACTTGCCAAAATAATTTCAAAATTCAATTCCAAAAATACAAATGCTAGGCACCGAGATTCTTGGCGCATCAGAACTATCTTCATATTTCCTTTTCCAGAACAAGTTCTAGGCACCAAAATTGTCATCTTTCCTTTTCCAGAAAAAGTCCCAGCGGCCTAAACAGGCTCAAAGTCTGGGGCTGCTTAGGAGATCAAATGGCCAAACTAGAGCAGGCAGTGACTTCCACTTAGATGAAGCTCAGCATTTTAATTTCAAAAATTTCTGCCCACTGGCTACTATGTAATAACTTTAACAGCATTTTGACTGACTTAGTAAGCTTCTGTGTCCAGCAACTTGCTCAATACTGTAACACTCTATGCATTCTGGGCCCTGCGGAGAGGAAACAGGGCAGTCAGGGAGCTTCCAGCCTACCACAGGACGGTAAATATAAACCTGTAATACCGAACCCCACTAGCATAAACGTCAGGCTTTGGATTCCTCTCCCGTGTACGTCACAGTGATCCACCAACTCATTTCCACCACGTTTCTTTTCACTTCAAGATGCCAAATTAAGGCTGCGACGGTTTCCGTCAGCCCCTTCCTACACCGCGGCGCCCACTGGGGATCCGGAGCGCACAGGGAGGAGCCGCAGGCCTCCTGGGCCTGAAGCCGTCCCACAACCCCTAGGAAAGAAGGGAGGGAGCGCGTCTCCCGACTCCCGGACGAGGGCGCCCGTTCTCCGGTCCCCGGGGAAGGAGGGCTGGGAGATCAGCGAATGCTCCCCTTGAGTCCCGGGAGGTGGCGGCTCGCCCTCTGAAACCGGAAATCCGCCTCTAGAGGCCGAGCAGAGCGGACGAGCGGCTGAGAGGCACTGGGGAGGGGACAACGTACCCATTCGGATGTGCACGCTGGCGGAGGCCACGCTGCTGCCATAGTTGAAGTCATCCTCGATTGAGGAGCAAGGGTACCGGGGATCGGCATCGGCCATGGCGGCAACAGCAGCCCTACCCGCCCCGGCCGAGCCCAGGACACTCAGCTGACCGCAACCGCCTCCTACCCACTTCCGCGAAGAAGAGCCCAGCCCCAACAAGCCGAGCGACGTTGGCGGGCGAACCCCGAGCGAGTCGATTGTCTCGCCTCAAAAATTCCAGCTGGGAGGAGACAGAGGGGATAGTTCCGGGTTGGGAAGAAAGAGAAAACGATTTACATTCCCAGCGCCATCTGAAGTGAAACTTTTCTCAGATTGTTCTCAACATATTTTTTAAACCCTCTCACCTGGGAGAGTTGCTAAAGTGATAGAAGCCGTGTCCCAGTCACCCATCCACTCAGCAAATACCCATCTCACTCATGCACTCTTTCAATAATCACACTGAGGATGCACTTTTACTTCTATTACTTTTAATAATAATACTTATATTTATTGAGCGCTTTCTATAAACCAGGCTTTCTGAATGAAGTAATATTTAATCCTGAAAGGCAAGTAGGAGCCAACCAGAGAAAGTAGTGATGTAGGCTGGTTCTCAAGGGACCAACGTCTGCAAAAGAGGGGACGCGGGAGCTCAGCTAGTATAGGGGACAGGAGGCAAAGAATGAGGCTGGATAGCTAAACAAAGGCCAGATCATTCCTATGCAGAAGTGGAATACATTGGAGAGGGCCATGACCAGAGACAGAGAAAAGGGGATAAAGTTGTACTGCTCTAAGAGAGAGATGACAGTAGCAAATACAATGGATTAGAGTGAATATTTATGATATTGTTGTTGTCATTCCAATATAAAGAGATGTAGACATACCCAGAGTAGTGTCATCCTAGGGTCCCTTGGAATCTTTTTCATGAGTTTACTTTCATCTACCCACATTGCCCGGTCCTCACCTTAACCACAGCACCCCAAACACTTAGCAAGTGGAATTTAGAACAGTCGTGGGACAGTCTGTTCTGAAACTAAATCCTTAAACTTGACGTTCTCAGAAGCTTTTGCCAAAAGAACTAACCTCACTTCCATAATGACAAGAAAAAAAAAAAACTTTATCTTTTATGACTTTACAAACATTTTACAAGCATATCATTTATATTTGTTTTTGTTGGTTTGTTTGGGACAGAGTCAGTCTGTTGCCCAGGCTGGAGTGCAGTGGTGCTATCTCAGCTCACAGCAGCCTCTACCTCCTGAGGTCAGGTGACCAAGCACAGCTAATTTTTTGTATTTTTTGTAGAGACGGAATTTCTCTATGTTGCTCATGCTGGTCTCGAACCTGGACTCAAGTGATCCGCCCACCTTAGCTTCCCAAAGTGCTGAGATTACAGGCGTGAGCCACTGTTCTTGCCCCCTCATTTTAATTTGTTGAATGGATAGGTGAATGGGACATGACCTCTATCGCTTTAGCTACTCTCCAGGTGAGAGGACTTAAAAACCTTGTTGAGAAAAATCTGAGAAAAGTTTCGCTTCAGATGACACTGGGAATGCAATCCATTTTCTCTCCCATCCTAACCTGAAGCCATCCCCCTCTTTCTCTGCTCCACCATAATAATAGAATTTATTAAGAGGACAAACTGGAGCTGAACTGGAAACCCAACTTTGTATTGACTAAAAACAGCATCAGCAAAGTTTGATCCTCTACCTTTTACCAGTTACAAAAAATAAATTCCAGATAGATTGTGGATCTAAATGTGAAAGAGAAAACAATAAAACTTAAAGAAAAGGTCATAGGAGAATATGATTTGGAGGAAAGCAAATATGTCTAAAACTGGATACAAAATAGCACTTAACTTCAAAGGAAAAGATTGACAAATTATATTAAAATTAGGAATTTCTAGTAATCAAAATATACCATAAGAGAGTGAAAAGGAAGCCATAGAGTAGGGGAAGATATCTGCTATACATCTAACCTGCATAAGGCTCCTTTTCAGAATATAAAAACAATGTTACAAATCTGGACCAAAAAAAGACAGCCAGTAGAGGAATAGATAAAAGACTGGAACAAGAGCCTCACACACACACACACACACACACACACACACACACACACTGCCAAGTGGCTAATAAACATATGAAAAGATGATCAGAGAAATGTAAGTAAATGCCAAAATGAGATATCTTTAAGCACCCACCAAATGATTAAAATTAAGAGATTGATAATATCAAGTGTTGACAAGACTGGATTATACAGAACTCAAACAAGAGCTGACTTCAAAGGTCAGAAGGACCCTTCACTTGGTTTAATGCTCAGCTGTCACCATTTTGAAATAATAATTTGGCCTTCGAATGTGTGTCTCATAAGTGAAGTCTCAAAGTACGATGGTAAATGAACATGTATAGAAGAGGTATGCACAATGTGGATGTCCACTGTTTCCTGCCAATCATTTGCATTTAAGCATTTAGGATGCCCCATGAGCACAGAAGTCTGTTGGACCTGCAATATATGGGAGTTAAGATAGACTGAAAGCTAGTAAAAGATAAACATGTCACACCTGAGACTTAGTAAAGGGAAGGGAAGGCACTGACAGCCCCAAGAGGCCTAGCTTTCCTTACCAAAGAGAACTTACTTTGAATGCAGAAAGAAAGCGATGACGTTTTAAGAAACGTGAATGACCAAGGAACCTTTTCACATCTTTGTTGTTGTTGTTGTTGTTATTGTGTTTGTGATAGGGTCTTGTTCTGTTGTCCAGATTGGAGGGCAGTGGTGCAATTATAGCTCATTGGCTCCCTCCAGCCTCGAACTCCTGGGCTTAAGGGCTCCCCCTACCTTAGCCTCCTGAGTAGCTAAGATTATATAGGTGCGTGCCACCATGCCCAACTAATTTTTTAATTTTTTTTTTTTTTTTTTTTTTGAGACGGAGTTTCGCTCTTGTTACCCAGGCTGGAGTGCAATGGCGCGATCTCAGCTCACCGCAACCTCCGCCTCCTGGGTTCAGGCAATTCTCCTGCCTCAGCCTCCTGAGTAGCTGGGATTACAGGCACGCACCACCATGCCCAGCTAATTTTTTGTATTTTTAGTAGAGACGGGGTTTCACCATGTTGACCAGGATGGTCTCGATCTCTTGACCTCGTGATCCACCCGCCTCGGCCTCCCAAAGTGCTGGGATTACAGGTGTGAGCCACCGCGTCCAGCCCAATTTTTTAAATTTTTTGAGATTGGGTCTTGCTGTGTTTTCCAGGCTGGTCTTGAGCTCCTGGCCTTAAGCAATTCTCCAGCCTTGGCCTCATAAAGTGCTGGGATTACAAGTTGTCACATCCTTACTTGTGTTATTTCCCTGTAAATGTCAACCACTTGCACTCAAAATGAAGACACAGAAAGAAAGGGAAAGATATGGCAATCATATTTCCTTTTCTTTTCAGGCTATCCTTTGCAATAAGCTGAAAGTAAAGAGTGTTGGTATAGTTTGCATGTGTCAAGAGGTGAAATAAAAATAATTGATTTAGTTTTGGGTGACTTTTCTGCAGTTCTTGTAAGAATAAAATAAACACATACAAGCTATGAAATACAAATTGTGTTATTTTGGTGATTCCACATACGCATTAAATGCCCTTCTAAATTTGTATTTAAAACTAGCATTGCAAAATATAAAGATCAATGGCAAAATTTGTGCTAATAATTTTTAATGATTTTTTTTACTACACTAAATAGCAAGTAAAAAAGCATCATGGCAAGTCAAGAGATTGCAAAAGAAATGAAAAGGCTTTATATTTAAGTATCTTTAATAGGACTTTTTCCTGCTTTTTGAACAAGAGGGCCTACATTTTTACTTCTTGCTGGGCCCCACAAATTATGTAGATGAAATAATTCCTTTGGAAAATTGACAGTATCTACCAAAGTTGAAGATACACTGCAAGTTCTATGACTTGGCAATTCTACTCCTAGGTAGAGTATATGTCCAACAGAAATGCATGCACATGTTTACAATAGACATATCCAAGAATACGCATAGCCACATGGTTCTTAATAGCCAAAAACTAGAAACAATGTAAATTGTCCACTATTAGAAAAAAAATGAATAAATTATAGTATTTTATATAATCACATACTTTATATAACTAAAATGAACAAACTGACATGTTCATGGATGAAGCTTACAAACAATGCTAAGCAAAAGAAATCTAATGAAAAGAATATGTAGAATAACATAAAGAATAATGAAAAGTTGAAAAGCAAACAAAAGTAATGTATGGTCTTAGACATCAGGAAATTGTTTATCTTTGGGGAAAAGGAAGGGATAATCATTGGGACGAGGTATTTAGAAAGACTTCTTTGATTCCAGTAATATTCTGTTTCCTGGCTGATTACATATGTTCACTTCTTGATAATGAGGCAAGCTATTTTTACTTAGGATTTGTGTATATGTTATACTTAAATGTGTATATTACACTTAAATTTTAAAAATTGTTGTAAAAAAGTGAAAAATTATTTGCTCCCTCTCAGTTCAGATAAGAAAGCTATCTTATGACAATAAAGCACTTACTTACAGACATGAAATCCAATAACTCAGTAATCCAATGCTTCTCTTTCTTTTAAAGTTACAATTTCAAGGAAAGTACTTTGTAAGTAAAATCAGTAATCTAAAGGAAATTTTAGTGATTTTTAAAGACCTATCTGTATGCTTCCTCTTTCTTCTAACCATCTCATCATCATTCTGACCTCCTTTTCATCTGTGTTTAAAAATCCCAAGCTAAAACAACTTCAGAACTATTCTCAAACTACAATTCTGTCCTTATTTCTGGATTGCCTAGAAAACACAATTTTTTTTTTGTTTTTGGCTTTTGGATAACAACCTACATTCAACATTAAAGGTCATAGAGATATAAGCTGCAATGATCTTTAAAATTGTTTTATTTATAAAATTTTATTTACAGTTCAACCTCAGTGGCCAGAATAGTGCAGATTTGTAAGACTCATGGATTACTTAAAAAGAGCAAGGGCTTTTACAGCCAAATAAACTAGAATCTCAATCCTAGCTCACTCACTCACTTTCAGGCATCTAAACTAATATCTCCAGGCCTAGGTTTTTTCTATTGTAAACTTAAAATTGTAATACTAAACTGCAGAGTTGTTGGAATATTAAGTGAGTCATTATGTACAGCATTGAGCTCTGTGATAGTAAGTGCTCAATAAAGTTTACTTTTCTCTT